CCCGCCCCCACCGCCCCCCCGCCGCGTCGGGGTGGGCGTCCTCCTCCACATGGCACCGGGCTGGGGGAGAGCGGCGTCCGGAGGGACCCCGGGGGGAGCCAGCACCCCATGAAACGGGGGAATTTCCCCGTTTTGGAGCCTGGTTCTTCCCAGGAAGCCTTCACCATTGCACGCTGCAGCCCCAGAGGCCACCAACCACTTTCTCCTACCTTCTGACGTGCAACGGCGTGTGTAAAACATGCCCAGATAGAACTGTGCCCTTATACCTCTCGTCCATATCCACCAGCTTTTTCTCTCAGACCATACCCCCAGCCTAGGCACATTCAGAGCAAAGACAGCCTCACTCTACTTTCAAATGCTCTAGGTTAAATCGAGGGAGAAGGACAACAGCAAACATCATGCCTTCCAAAGCAGGAGGATGTGATCTGCATTCTACATTTCAGCTCCAGAGACATGCAACACAGGGACCGTGCAAAGACGACAACACAAGACTGGGTTAAGAAATTACGAGAGAGAAAAAAATGGCATTTCTTACCGGACTTTTCCTCTAAAAGAATGCGGGGAAAAAAAAAAAAGAAAATGAGAATGTAAGAGGTTTTCTGTAAAGGGATAACACAGAGATAAGAGATGCGCATTACGACCAGCAGCACTGGGTGCAGAACGGTCAAATGTACAGCGAAGCGGAGCTGCACGCGTGCCCAGGCAGGAGACTGAGGTGAGAGACAGCACAGAAAATAAATCCTATTTCTGAGCCGTCTCGAGGAAAAGCTTCGCGTGCTTTGTCGTCAGCGCGCCCTGAGAGCTACGGACAAAGCCCACTCCCCAGCCTGTGTCATTTCTTGGAGGGATCCATACGAGAGGAAAGTCCAAAGCATCATTTTCCCCCTAAGTACTTAAATTTAAGGCTATTACTTCGCAGCTTTGCCCAGGGACTATTTTTTCAGACTGCTACAAAGCCCCCACCTCCGGGGCTGAGTTTTCCATGGTGCAAAGAGCGGAGCGGGCAGGAGCAGGGTGGGAGGTCCGAGGATGCCGGGCTGTTGTGGGGACGGTACGCAGCATGGGCAGCTGGTGCCACCGCGGCACGGGCAGCTGGTGCCACCGCCTGCGGACCCCTCCTTGGGAACAGAGAGCCGAGCTCGCGGGCTTCAGGCAGAGGGTGCGGCTGACACCAGTTCACCACAGCATCTCCAGTTCTCTGCTGGTCCTCAAGTTAAGACACCGTAGCCTCCACCCCAAAGGGATGAGGAGGACATCCCCATGGACACGGCATCTCCCATCCCGCTGCTCTCTTCCGGGAGAAGCTGGTGTGCAGGAGGACGGGGTGCTGGAGCAGGGCTTTTCAGCTGGTTTTGGAGAGGGGACAAGCCCAGGACAAGGGCAGGGAACCAGACAGCGCAGCACGGAACTCCCAATGGAGGCAAAACTCCTTCAGGCAGCCCCTGCCCAGGGCACTGCTGCTTTCCAGGACACCGGTGCCGCTTGCCAGAATCCGACGCGCCGGGAGCAGCGGCACCGCTCACCGCCCCATCTGCGCCCTTTGGCTCCGTACACCGGATCTTGGATCCCGAGACGGGGAAGCAGCACAGCTCCTCCTCTCCAGCCTGGCACAGGGCTCTTCCCCCAGCCCTTGGTGTCGAGCGGAGCACGTCTGCGCTGCTTTGCGGGGAGGCATCGGCTCCAGCCCCGGCTGCGGGGACGGGGATTTCCCTTGCAACACACCGAGCGCCCCGACCCAGCGCCCGAAGGGCAGGATCCACACCGCACCATGCCGACAGGCCCGGGCTGCTCACCGGGGGCTAAATGTGCCCTGGCTGCCAAGAAGGCCAATGGCATCCTGGGGTGCAT